TATGAGTTCTTCTTGGCGAGATCAGCTTCCTACAGCTGGAAATTCCCCAAAGATAGCAAATGTATTTAACAGTTGTTAGAAAGCCAAACAACATGAGAAATATCCACTACACCGTGAAACATCCATTCCTCTCCCTAAGAGAAACTAATACCATCTTATAGAGAACAGTATTAGATATATTCTTTTTCTCAGCAGCATACACATTAACATTTTTATTTTTAGCTTCAAATAAAAGGCAAAAATTGAGTATAATTTAACATAAGCTTCTTCCAAGTGTACCTGTTGCTCTTAGAACATTTTGGGAGAGAGGGTGGGTCCAAAAAGTCACTATAAATAGCATAGAAAGAACCAAAGATATCTGTTAGGAGTAGGACTGGTGTAGGCGGAGCAAGAACTGGAGGCACTGGAGGTTCTTTCTATGAATTTGACTTTTGTCCCCACTATTGCGTAGGTACAACTTGCTCCATTCTTTCCCACCTACACTAGTGTTTGTGGTGGTGTATTTGCGAGCATAGCCACACCTGATCCACTCTGTTATGTGAGCAGAATGGAGCAGGCTGGAAAGGGCTAAGATACAGAAACAGGCTTTTCCACCGGAGTGTGGCTGTTGTGTGCATCACAGGTAAATCGGCGTATGGGCTGTGGGTAGAGACAGTAGGAATGGTGTAGAGTATGTAAAGTGTGTGTCTATGTGTGGTGGGATCAGATATTATGCATCTGGGCCCCACATACATTATTTCTCTCTCTTTTTTGGGGGAAGCGGGGGAATGAAGTTTTGCTCTTGTCGCCCAGGCTGGAGAGCAATGGTGCGATATCGGGTCACTGCAACCTCTGCCTCCCAGGTTCAAGCGATTCTCCTGCCTCAGCCTCCTGAGTAGCTGGGATTAACAGGTGCTCACCGCCACGCCTGGCTAATTTTTGTATTTTTATGTAGTAGAGACGGGGTTTCACCATGTTGCCAGCGCTGGTCTTGAACTCCTGACTTCGTGATCTGCTTGCCTCGGCCTCCCAAGTGCTGGGATTACAGGTGTGAGCCACCGCGCCCAGCACATTATCTCTTATGCTATTATCTCTTAATGCTCACAGTAGCTCTAGGTGAGTGGGTGTTGATTAGAGAGTGAATTCAAAAACAGCAACTGATGGAGATTCAGGCAATGGCACCAGAATGTCCAGGTAATTTGTTCAGCAGGCAGCAAAACCAAGTCAGCCTTTGAAATAGGCCCTGAAGATATACTAACAAGGGAAGGGGCCAGGGTCCTTATCCTAAGAAGAAACAGATCTGCCAAAGCAGATTATAAAAATGGGATATGGGCACAGGAATATTAAATATCCATTATTAGAGCTAAAGTATGATGTAGAGAGTAAAATAAGTTGAGGCTCATTGATCTACAGGGTGACCATGTAAATTTAAATTACAAATTAAAAATGAAGATATTATTAATAATTATGCTGAACAGCAGGTAAAACCAGGAATTTGGGGGCAAAATGGACACACAAGTACCCAATTATACATCACCTAGAGAATGCTACAGCGGGAATTCAAGGAAGAGTGACAGCAAAAGGCAAAAGAATGCAAATGTTAAAGAATGCGAAAGAATGATGACTCAGAAAAGGATTTTACCTTTGGTTAATAGTTGCGAGAGAGAATGTGAAAAAACCAGGAGACACCAGAATGATGTAATTTTTATTTTTTCTTTCATTAATTCGCTTGCCAGCCAGGGCTACCAGCGATTCTCCAGCAACACGACTAGTAGCATGAGAAACTCTCATGGAAAGTTCATGCGCATAGGGACTGGAAGATGCCAATGAGGGTAAGATGCGCGCAGTAGTGGGGTGGTAAGATGGAGCTGGTTCAATGATAAGCATCTGAAAACCCTGAAAGTTTCAACTGCGGAGATGTCCAAGTTGATGATGATACCTGAAGGATTTCTGCTGGATGTGCCCATGGGGACCAAAGCCAGAAGTTTGACTCAGAAGTTTCAGCGATGCAAAGAAAGGAAATCAGGTATTTATCACCAGACATTATGTCATCACTCAAAAGGACTCTAATTTTTAGTAGATTGACTGTCTAAGAAAAGGATACCTATGGGAAATGTTCTCTGATCTCAAAATTGAAGGAATTCATAGCTATCCCATAATCTAGCCATCTCTGCTTCAGGTCAGACAGTTAAATCTAGGCGCCTCAGTTTTGTAAATGTGCTTAATACTATAGTCAGAAAGTTAGCAGAGCTTTATCAGAGATCTTTAAAAAGAATTTTTAAAAAGTTTGACACTCCAGTTTGTCAATGCTGCAGGATTGTTCCTGAGCTTCTAAGTGTTGACTTTGAATACTAATCTGGCACAGGCAAGACATTCTCGTTAAGACATTCAGAAGGACAACCTCAATAGCATTACGTATGGAAGGAAAAGAGACGTTGAACATGCCTTCTATATTTTACAATAAGGTTTTCTACTCTCTTGATTATAATGCTTGTGAAATCTCATGTCCCCCCTCCCCAACACTGTACAAAGCTTCTCTTCAAAGTTCACACTTACAGGGATTTGGAGGATTAGAAATCCAGTACCTAAGTAAGGTAGGTCAGCCAGTCCTAGAGGTACTAAACATTGTATCCTTAAGCAGGCAGTTTAACACTATAGTGGTTGAGCAAGGAATGTCAGAGTGAGGTGAAAAATGTCTTCGGAAGGTCTTTTGACCCACACGTAATTTCAAGCCTCCCTACAGATTCATAGGCCTCTTCCTTTCTTTTTTCCCTTTTTTCTTATTAGCACTTAATAACTATCACAAACTGTATATTTTATTTATGTTTTGTTGTTGTTTTTATCCATGAAGACAAGGTTTTATCTGTTTCATAAGTTTCTACATTCTCAGTGCCCAGAACATTTGTCTGGCATATAGCAGGTATTTGATAATATTTATTGGTTGAACGAATGAATGAATGAATAACAGAGGACTCCTCTCCCTATGTAAGTATGGGTCATTCAATCTAGTTAGCACTTACAATGTAATGTAATCAACTGAGAAAAGGAGTTCTCCAAAGTCCTACTCTTTCTCGAACCCTGTGCCTGGAGGCTTCTGAGCTGAGAGTGACATTTTTTGAAAGAAAGCAATTTGAAGGAATATGCAAGAACTTTGGAGTGAAATTGAGTGTGGTGCTAAAAGGAAATGAAAATAAGTGAATTCACCCACATTTTGGAATTAAAAGAAAAAAAAACAACAGGCTAACATTCAAAAAAGAAAATAGACCACAAAAAGAAACCATGCTTGTTAAAATTCTGTAACCTAATCATACCTTTCAGTTGTGCTCTGTCTCCCCTTACAGCAAGAAATCCTTCAACCACATAAACTAAAAAGGTTCAGTGAGAGTCAAGAAATATAAAATGATGGGGAATGTATCCTGAACCAAAGGAAGAATCCCAAGAAACAGGAGAAATCAAAATTTTAAATAGAATGAAAGGGAAAAGCACACTGGCACACTCAGGCCTCAAAAGAAAGACAACAACTCTTGCAACTGAGCAATAACAACTTTCCAAACATAAAAGCTAGTGACAGAAAGCAAGGAGACAGGCTTCAAGGCTCTCCAGGAATGGTTCAAACAAAAGAACATCCCACGGTGACAGAAAAAGTGGCACCACTGCCCTTTTCTTCCTCTCCATCATCTCCAATCCAAGTGCTTGCTTAATTGTGCTGGTCTTTGTAATGTGGTGGTGTTCTCAAATCCAGGTTTTCTTTCCTATCTATAGCCACTATTCCAGTTTAAGCTCTCATTATGTTCTCACAGAACATGGTAACTACCATGCCACTCTCTCTCCTGGTTCACTGCTCTCCAATCCGTCTTCCAATAGTTTCTCCAAGGCAAATTGGACCATTCTACTTTCCAGTAGGAAACGCATTAGAGATTCCTCCTCAGCCTTTTGGAATGATGACTCCAGTAATATTTTCAAACCATTTGCTAATGAGGGGCACAAATGTTCACTATAAGGCCCAAGTGTGAACTCCAGAAGTACAGAGCCCATGGCTATCTTATTCATAGCTGAATCCCAAAAACTAGCGCAATGCCTGTGCTCCACAAACATTTAATATTTGAATAAAAGTGGAAAAATCATGATATAAAACCATGTAAAATGCAATCCTAATAATGTAATTATATGCAGACACACAAAAGTCAGAAAATACAGCAAAAAATAGTTATTCTTTTTAAATTTTAGTTATGGTTTTTTATGGATTTTCAAATTTTGCCATGAAAGTTTTTTTTTTTTTTTTCTCCTGTGATACTGAGATTTTAAAAATACAGGCACAAACAAAAAGAGAGTAGAACAAAAGCCAGACACCTGACATATCAGATGGCAACATTAGGGAACAATGGGAAGTATCTTATCCTCATCACATCATACAGGATCCTTCATCTTCCAGCCCTGCCTCAGCTTCACCTCCTGCCACTCTTCTGCTACCCAGGGGAATCAGCATGGCCAAGCTATGCTGTGTTCTTCACATTTGTGCTTGCTGTCTATTCTCTGTTACCCCACCATTCCGGTATGCCCAATGTAGTGTTTGCCATCTTTTCTTTCCTAGGAGCAAGCACATTTCCTGACGTACAGGTGAATATATTAAATATCGATTGTGTAAATTAACTAACACATGAATAAGACCTTTACTATAAAACCATACTCACGTAATAAAGTTGTTGTGAGGACTAAATAGGAAAATGCATGCAAAATATGACTGGCTCATAGTAAGACCTCAAAAAGCAAACACAGTTATCCACTATTACTATTGTAACCTTCTACAAGTTGCTTTGCTCCTCTTGCCACAATAATAAATTGTAGACAATAATTCCTGCTTTGCCTGCTCATTGCATTGACATGAGAAAAAGCTTAGAGCAATCTGGAAACCACAAATCACTAAACAAACATATTATTATCATTATGAGATAGTGATGATTATATGCCATTTTCTTTGTGAACCTTGCTTATATTAAGCTTATTATTTAAAGTCACATTACCTTTGCTGATGTTTCAAACCATCCTACGAAACCATGCTCCTTGCAGAACTGGTCCATCTTGAGGCCATTGTTCATGAGCACATCCTTCCCCTGGTCACATTTGTTGGCCAACAAAACCACTGAAACCGGTTTGCCATTAGGGAGAGTTAACTTGGAGTCCAAATCATTTTTCCACTTTGCCACTGCTTCGAATGTGGCTGGCCTGGTGACATCGAAGACAATAAATGCACCCATAGCTTCTCGGTAATAGACCCTCGTCATGTTTCCAAATCTTTCTTGACCTGACACCAAAAAGAAATAAAAATAAAAATGTATTACAATTGCAATCATATTAGAACTGAATTACAACTGAATCGTATTAGAACTTCATGAAGCCTCCAAGATGAGCAAGTCAATCAGTAAAATGCTTCATCTTTATTGATTATCTTTAAAGAGTGAACTATATATACAATCATGCAGCTTTATTCTTGATTTTTGATTTCAGAAGGGAATTCATTCATTTAACAAATACGTACTGAGAAATTTCTGTGTACCATGTAATATTCTAGACCTATGCAAATATAGTATTCCAGTAGCCACATGTGGCAATTTAAATTAAATGAACAAAAACAAAACAAAATTTTTAATTCAAGTACTCTGTCACCCTAGCTAGCTACATTTCAAATGATCAGTAACTGTATGTCGCTAGTGCCTACTGACTATGCCAATAATAAAACATTTCCATAAGTATAGAACATTTGATTGGGCAACACTATTCGAAATATTTGGGATACTCTGATTAAAACATAAAAATTCCTGCCACCATGGAGATTACATTTTAATGGGAAGACAGATTCTAAACAATAAACATAATAAATAACAAAATTATGGAGTATGCTTAAAAGGGATCCACAATCTAGTCCAATTAAAGGTTATATATTAGCTAAAATTCATTCATGTTTACTAACCATGAAAAATGTGATTTACATAAGTGATTATAAAGGTGCAATTATTACCCCCATTTTAAAGAGAGAAAATTGAGACTTAGTCTAAGTAACATTCTCAAATCATATAGATAGGAAGCTTAAGAAATCATAATTCAAACCTGAGCAGTTTGAATCTAGAGCTCACAGTCTTTTACCAACATTAAATACTCTCAACTACTAAAGTATAGGCTTGTACTCTCTCTTCTGCAGGCTTATATACCAGGACCACACACAGGACCATCCCACTGAATTTGACCGAACAGATATTTATTGGACATCTATTGTATTGATGCCAGTTTCTGGACTACTCACTCAGAATTCAGCAGTGAACTAGATGGTCTCTACCCTTAAATGCTCTACAACCTATTGGGTAAGAAAAGCCCTACTATAGCAAAACACTAAATAAGTTTTGTTTTTGTTTTGTTTTGTTTTTTAGGATAAGGATTGGTTTTAGAATTAGAATCAGTTGGAATCAATTTTGCTCTGATGGTTAATTTTCTGATTGAATATTGTCAAGTTTCTTAAGCACTCTTAAGTTTATTTTTCCTTATCTGCAAATTGGCAATAATAATATGTACTGCACAGTGTTGCCAGGTGGATGAAGTGAATTAATATATGCAAAGCACCCAGCATAGTACCTTAGAACTAGTCAATACTGGAGTTTTCCTTCTCTTTTGGAAGCATGTTAAAAAATGTGAAAGACAATATGGCACAAGTTCCGAAATCAGAGTTTCAGATCAGGGTTTATGACAAAAAATAATTGTAAGTATTTCAGCTGAATAACAAAAATGAACAAAATTCTATTACTTCTACCTCTGTCCTCTACTAATGGTTGCTGAAGACAGGAGCTAATGACTTGTATTTTCTGAACTCAAAACCCTAGAAGTATGTGACCAGACGAAGCCTTTTTATTCTGATTTGGGAATTTATTAATGTTAACAGTCTTATAAAGTCATATAAATTAAAACAAAGTTAGCATGTATTTAACAAGTCAACTTTTATTGGAAAGAGTAAAATGCTAAAACTGGGATGTATCTAAGAAAATACAGGTTAACATATCTCTAAGAAGAATACTTTACCCTTAATTTTGAGCTCAAAACTTTATGATGGTAAGTTTTAATTCAAGTTAGCAAGCTGTTTTGTAGATGGCTATATTTACATTGGTAGTAGCACTGAAGTTGTAAGAGAAGGCTCCCTAAGCACTTAGTGAAAATGAATGAAGGTTGAGGGCTCTGGTCCCAGTGTGTGAGCCTGTGTGCACAAGCAAGTATCGCTGGAAAAAAGAGTATTTTGTCATAGCCAGCACATGACAATCTTACAGTATTTCTTACATGGGTTATACCAGAGATGAATTTTTTATCCCATAGTTGTCTAGTCAATGAAAGAAAGGGGCAAAATATTCTCCACATGACACATAACTCAGAGATGAACTTTTAGTTTTCCCAAATAAGTTTTAAACTTCTTTTTTTCTTTTTAAATTCCTGGTGCAAACAGTGATCTCCTTTGATACTGCCAGGGTGGCCATGACATTTCAGAAAAATAGGGTAAAAAAGCCTTCTATGATTACTCAGAACTTCCAAGGCCTTTAGGCTTTTAAAGGATGTCTTATGATCTCTTTCAAGGATCTAATCAGATGAAGAGCAAAGTCAGGGGTTAGTCAATAATCTGCTTGTCCAGAGGTTTTCATAGTAGAATAAGGCAGTCCTCAAGAATAAAGATTTTGCATTTTAAATATATGATAGAGTTATTTTAAGACCATACAAAAAGCAATACATAGGCTATACCTTCATAGAGAATCAAAAAGGAAAATGTGTGTGTGTGTGTGTGTGCATGTGCATGTGTGTTTGAGTTTGTGAATGTATGTATGTTAGATCAGAAATAAGAAGAAGACAGCTTGTTTCTAGAAAGAAAAGATGTTTATATGTTGAGGTCACTGAGCCAGCCCACTTGGAGAGTTTATATTTTTGGCATTCCAGTAAGAGATCACATTTAGATCAGAGCATTCCTAGCACTCACACTGCTTCCTTCCTTTTTCAACTGATAGTCCTCTTTGCTGTTTCTTATTCAAAAAATGAGAACCATGTGACTCAGAGTGAGTGCCTACTTTTGGGCAAAGTAGAGACCTGATGAATTCACCGTAGTTAAATTTCCTGTTTAAAAAATGACTATAATTCAAAAACTTCCCTTGGTTTTAGATCACTTATTCAACACATACTTACGGAATAGCTAATGTGGCTAAAGCTCTATACTTTGTGCTGGAAATATACAGTTTTTACCCAGGAGAAATTTCTAAAGTTTTGTCACATTGGATTACTGCACTGAAAATAATCCACTTCACCACATAAGTCCCCAATGCTCTTACATACACACTTCATAGCAGTGTAGATGTGGCTCATGATTCAGCTTTAAGCTATGAGGGGTGTTAAATGAGAAAGCAATCAACCAAATCACAAAAGTTAATATAATTGCTGCAGGAACTATTTACATAATCTCACAGCAGAAGATACCAACTTGAAAAGTTAAAAGACGTGGTCTTAATTTTACTCACTGGTTACCAGAACAGGCTCAGACACATGTATTTCTCTCCCTGAGACTCAGTTTTCTTATCTATAAATGAACTTGGTGTGGCTGATCTCAAAGGCCCATTCCTCATGCCTTAGATTAAATCAAACTTTGGCCCCCTGTACCAGCAGCCTGAAATGGTCCATTTGGTGCCACAGACTCAGCTAAAAATATACACAAGCATCACAGCTATAATGTGTATCTAGCAATATTTTTACTTCAAGTCATCTTCTAACTCCCTCCTCACTCCTTCAACCAAAGAGACTCCAGTATCCAACTAACATTTCTACTTCAGAGGTAGCCCCTTGGCTCTGCCCGTCCTCTCCCCCAGCACTGCTCCTGCTCCAGCTCAGCCCCTCATTGCTCCTCACCTGGACCCCTGGCAGCTCCCTAAATGGGGATCTCAGTATCTAGGCTCTCATCAATGTCTCTCTCCCCAAATATAAACATAAATGTAAGCATAAGTCTTCAGGCAGTTGCCATTCTGGCAGCATAAGAAATCACTCTGGCGCCTAAGAAATACCCATCCCTAGTTGAGTTGCACTTCTCAGAGATTCTTTATTGTGTTGCTTTTGTGAAGAGATCAGAAATCTGTATTTTTAAGCTATCTCTACATGATGTTAGTGTATGACCTAGTCTTAAAACTGCTATTTCTTTTTTTTCCCCAAGATAGTAGATTAGAGCCTTGTAGCGTGCCTCAGCCATGTGGAAATAGCAAGATAGTGCATAAAGGCCAACTGTGTGGGCTTTATTTCAAGAAGGAAAATGGGAATCCACCAGGACAACCTAAATTGAAGGACACCCCAAATCCCAGGGAGGGGAACATGGGCAAACAGCCCCTTTGATGGCATCCAGCTAATAAAAGTGAGAGAAACTCAGGTACATGAGAGAGGCAGAGAGCCTCCTTCTGTGACCTGCCTTTCCACTACGGATCCCAGCAAAGCATGCCAAGGGAAAGCACTTTGTATCTCCCAAGCCCTAGAGCTAACTTGCAGAGTTTCTTGGAGACACTGTGAGAGAAAGACGTGAGGAAAAGCTGCAGACATTTTCCCATACCCAGGACCAAGATCAGGATGCCATTTTTAATCCGAGTGTGTAGCAAGGCAGCCATTCATTTTAATCTCTAGCCAGAGACCAGGGCACTCACTCTAGAGAAGTGTAGGAGTCTCCACAGCCAGAACTGTGGAAAGCCCCTCAGCAGTAGGTGCTGGAATTGTGTTCTCCTCTGTCACAACACTGGGACAGGAGGAGAGCTGATAAAGCTGCAGTTTCTACTGGGCAGTAATACTTGTATCTAGGGCCAGCTTGGCAATCTGGAACCAATCTGCAGGTGTCCAGCCTGCTCGCCTGAGATTGTGGTGCAGCAGGGCCCTCTTTGCTCTACTCCCAGGCAGAAATCCAGGCATTTGGAGCACCCACTTGACCAGACCAGTAGCCTGAGTTGCCCCACCCATGACAGACATAGATCATAGCACAGCAAGTCCCTCTCCACTCCATGGCTAGGCAGATCTCCAGGCATTCAGACAACCTGTTCACCTGGAGCAACAGTCTGACCTGCACCACTCATCCTGTGCAGTGATCCTGGTGCAGGGAGGCAAACTCTGTTTCACATCAGGGCAGATCTCTGGGCATTCAAAGCACCTGCTCATCTGGCTCAGCAGCCTGAGCCACCACACCTATTCTGAACATAGACCATGAGGCAATGAGGCACTCTCTGCTCCATGCCCAGGCAAATCTCCAGCCATTAGGAGCAC